GAGAGAGAGAGAGAGAGAGAGAGGAGGAGGAGGAGGAAGAACTGGTGGGGGTTGAGCGGCGAGGAGAAATTTCATCCCTTAAATCTAACCATGTGTCACTGGATGGCATCGCCTATACAGCGACGACCGCGCGGTTCTAAAAGCGAGATCTCTATAGATAATGTCGGGGTAATGCGTTCCTAATGAATAAAATGAAACGGAATCTTGATATTTGATGAGTTTGCTCTACAGCTTATTCGACGATTCGCAAACTAACGATTGAAATTCGATTACTGAAATTGATTGAGTGAAAAAATAGACTGCTTACTTTTCAGGTTTATTGACAATTCATAATATACTTTATAACATCTGCTTATAGCGGAAAATGCGATGTTTAATAAATCTGTTTAATAATCCTCTGTGTTTATTTTAAAGTAAAGTCACGACTTCGATAAAGAGAAAACGAAAATCGAAAGCAGAAATAGATTATAATCGAGCTCTCTTCACTCGTACTGAGAAGTAGCGGACACTATTAGTATTATTCCTTTCACATCTTGTTAAAGATATCAATATCTTCTAATACAATATAAATATAGCAGGTGCAAAAGTTTAGATGGGTTTCTATTAGGGATCGTCTATTAAAAACCCGATATCATAAAAACCTTTGCACGTACCTAATAATACCATCTTAAAAGAGTGATCTAGTGAGTAGAACGTCCCATCGTGCAAAAATGTGGTTGTGTCTGCAAGTACAAAAGCACGAAAATATCAAAAGCAATGGATACACGTGATCAATTCAAATTGAATCTAGCGGTTCCGTGCGCGCGCGCGTCTGTGTGTGTGTGTCTGTGTGTGTGCAGGCCGGTTAAAATTCAGCTGAATAATTTCCATATCGGTATCAACGATATGTACTAAAGTGCCGTCCGTGGCAGCGAATCGCTCGGCGAGCCCTTACGTCCAGCGCCCTACGTGCTCGACAGAGAAGAACGTGCCGGAGGCACAGCTCTGGATTGGTAATCCAACCTACCACGGTTCGCTCGAAGGGAAGATATAGAGAAAGAAGAAAAAAAATACATTTTAGCTCGCATCCAGGCACTGCAGCCAGTTTCACCCTCCTCCCCTCCCCCCTTCCCACCCTCGCCCGCTCCTATACTATACCCACCCACCCACCGCGCTCTTCTCGCGCACCCCTCGCGGTTCTCCTTTTCCTCTCTCACATCCAGGCTCCCTTTACGCCCTTCTTTATCTCTCCGTTTCTCCCTCTCGCGCTCGCCGTACGCTGTACGTACGTGTGCATGTGAGTACATGGTCGAGCCGATGGTCGAGAAGAGCGTCCCGATAGAAAAAGGACGCCGACGCGCAGCGTCGGTAGGTGGTCGGGTAGTCGTGAAAAAAAAATCAAAAAGATGGGAACCGGGGGCAAAGGGGGCCGGGGGAGAGAGGGGGAGGGAGGGCGGGGGGCGAGGGTGAAAGGGAGGTGGGAAGTGAGAGGGTGGGCGAATGAGAGAGGAGGAAAAGGGCGGAGGATAGACGGGACGAGAGGAAAAGAGATCATGTGCGTATGTGCGACATGAGAAAGAGAGGGAAGGAGAGAGAGCGGGATGCTCGAGGCTGTATTCCGATGGCGGGGGAGCGGCGCATGGGCAGCCGCTGGAGGGGGGAGAAAAAAGGTGTAAAAAATGTCGGAGCCGAGGAAACGGGAGGAAAAAATCGGGCCGTCTCTACGGAGACGGCGGGGGTATGTAGTGAGGGGCAGGAGGAAGACAGAACAGAGGAGGGAAGGGTTGGAAGAGAGAAGCCGGTTAGAGGAGATGGGCGAGCACGGAAGAAGGATGGCGGACGAGTACAAGGGAGAGGAAAAATCGGGAGACGGTGAAAGGAGAAAAATCGAGAGCGCGCGAAAGACGAAGAGATAACAAGAGAAAGAGAACGCGGTGCGGGGAAAGAGAGAGAAAAAAGAGAGGGAAAGAAAGAGAGAATGAAAGAGGGAGAGAAACAAAGAGAGAGAGAGAGAGAGAGAGGAGGGGAGGGGAGGGAGGGAGGGAGGGAGGAGGAGAGAGAGAAGAGAGAGAGAGAGAGAGAGAGAGAGAGAGAGAGAGAGAGAGAGAGAGAGAGAGAGAGAGAGAGAGAGAGAGAGAGAGAGAGAGAGAGAGAGAGAGAGAGAGAGAGAGAGAGAGAGAGAGAGAGAG